GCTGGTGCACAACCCGCTGAACGTTTTTCACATCACAGTGGCGGTCGAGGACGTGAATGACAATGCGCCGCGCTTCCTGCAAGACCATTTCCAACTGGAGATCAACGAGTTGACTTCTCCGGGCGCCCGATTTTATTTGGGCATGGCGGAGGACGCGGACGTGGGCAGTAACTCGCTGAAAGGCTACGATCTGGAGACGAACGAGTACTTTGCTGTGGACGTGAAGGAAAGGCAGGATGGCAGTAAGTTCGCGGAGCTGGTGCTGCATCGCGCCTTAGACCGAGAGAAAGAGCAGAATTTGCATCTGCTGCTGACGGCTGTGGACGGTGGAGACCCGCCACGGACCGGAACGGCCCAGCTCAGGATCAACGTCACGGACGCCAATGACAACCCACCCGTGTTCGCGCAGGACCGGTACCGCGTCAGCCTGCGTGAGGACACGCCTCCGGGATCAATGGTGCTGAACATCTCTGCCTCCGATGCTGATGCCGGCACCAATGCCCGCCTCACATACAGCTTCGGGAAAATGCCGGCCAAAATGCTTCAGAAGTTTTTGCTGGACGCAGAGAGGGGGTCCATCACGCTGCATGAGGTGCTGGATTTCGAGGATACACGCACATTCAGCCTGGCTGTGGAGGCCAGGGACGGGGGCGGACTAGTGGCGCATTGCGAAGTACAAGTAGAAGTACAGGACGTGAACGACAATCCGCCCGAGGTGACGCTGACGTCAGTGTCGAGCCCAGTGCCCGAGGACGCACCGGCTGGCACCGTGGTGGCCCTGCTAAAAGTGCGGGACCGAGACTCGGGCGAGAACGGTCAGGTGTCGTGCGAGCTGTCGGGAGAGGCGCCGCTGTCGATCGTGGCGTCGTCGGGAGGCTCGTACAAGGTGGTGACGGCGAGCGCGCTGGACCGCGAGCAGGCGTCCGAGCACCGCGTGACGGTGGTGGCCCGGGACCGGGGCAGGCCGGCGCTGTGGAGCAGCACGGAGCTGGTGCTGGAGGTGTCGGACGTGAACGACAACGCGCCGGTGTTCGAGGAGGCGGCGTACAGCGCGTACGTGGCGGAGAACAACGCGGCGGGCGCGCTGGTGCTGCGCGTGCAGGCGCGGGACGCGGACGCGGGCGCCAACGGGCGCGTGAGCTACTGGCTGGCGGGCGGCAGCGCGGGCGCGGCGGGCGCGGCGCCGCTCGTGTCGGTGGAGGCGCGGAGCGGCGCGCTGTACGCGCAGCGCTCCCTGGACTACGAGCAGCTGCGCGAGTTCACGGTGGCCGTGCGGGCGCAGGACGGCGGCTCGCCGGCGCGCAGCTCCACGGCCACGGTGCGCGTCTTCGTGCTGGACCGCAACGACAACGCGCCCCGGGTGCTGTGGCCGGCAGCGGCGGGAGGCGGAGCCGCGGCGGCGGCGGGAGAGGCTCCGGGAGCGGCGGCGACTCCTTTCGAGGTGGTTCCGCGTTCGGCCGAGGCCGGGTACCTGGTGGCCAAGGTGGTGGCGGTGGACGCGGACGCGGGGCGCAACGCGTGGCTGTCCTACGAGCTGGTGCCGGCGTCGGAGCCGGCGCTGTTCCGCGTGGGGCTGCACAGCGGCGAGGTGCGCACGGCGCGCGCCGTGTCCGAGCGGGACGCGGCCAAGCAGCGCGTGGTGGCCGTGGTGAAGGACCACGGGCAGCCGGCGCTCTCGGCCACGGCCACGCTGCACGTGGTGCTGGCCGAGAGCTTGCAGGAGGCGCTGCCGGAGCTGAGCGAGCGGCCGGCGGGCGCCGAGGCGGCGGCGGCGGCGGCGGCCGAGCTGCAGTTCTACCTGGTGCTGGCGCTGGCGCTGCTGTCGGCGCTCTTGGTGCTGAGCGTGGCGCTGGCCGTGCTGGCGCGGCTGCGCCGGGCCGGGCCGCCCGCCGTGCTGCGCTGCCTGGGCGCGCAGCGCTTCTCGCTGGCCGGCGCCGCCTTCCCGGCCGACTTCTGCGAGGGCACCTTGCCCTACTCCTACAACCTGTGCGTGCCGGCGCCGGCCCGCGCCGTGCCCGAGGCCGCTTGGCCGCCGCCGCCGCCGCCGGTGCCCGTCCTGTCGGCGGAGGAGCTGCTGGGCGGCGATTCCTGCGAGAAGCCGAGCCTGACTACTAACGCCGGGACGGGAGAGCCTCCGGCCGATCCGGACTCACTGCAGGTCTGTAAAAGGAATTCCTTCCTTCTGCGCCTTTAAATAACGGCGTGGTGGTGGCAGGGAGCTTTTGTGCTTTTTTTCTTCCCTTAGTCTGTTAGTAATTCCATGACCCCGTGAAAATACTCCTTCGCGTGTTCCTTTTTGCATCATGTGTTGCCATCCAGCAATTGCTGCCTCATCTGCTGTAAGAATGGTGAGCTCAGTTGGATGTTCTTACCGTTCATCAGTTTTGAAGCGCATTTTAATTCGTGACACATTCTGATTTAGCTGTAAGAGTTTCTTTAGGAAAATTTTGGTTTTTTTTAATTTTTGTGTGTTATTAACGAAGGAGGCGGATTTTCATTGTGTAGAATGAGATTTACATGATGGTTGGTGTGGAGATTTTTCCTTCCCGACAGTTTTTTGTCGAAGCTATGTGTTTGGACCTTCTGATAGGTGGATCAAATCCCTTCTTTTGAGGGAAGGGTGCTGTAGGAATGCTTACACTGTTGAGTCAGGTTAATTTAGGATTTCAAAAAAGTTTTCTGTGGGTGGAGCCAACTCTGTATTCATTACCTTCTAAGTACCCGAACTCTGTGCCTGACCTTAGTGCCATCATCATCAAGACGACTCCAATACTTGACTTAATACCCAAGTATTAAGTCATCAGAGTGAGCATTGTCATGCCTATATTGAGTAAAATTGTAATGAAGAATTTCAAAGTCGTGATTGGAGAACGGGTAGTAATGTAGATTTATTCAGAGTAGTGTGTGATGTGCAGTCTCAAAATAGTAACGACCTTCCCTGCAGTGCTGGATTCCGTGACCATTGGAATATTGTGACTGTTTATGAGTAGTATTCCTATTCTAAAACACTATTTTCACCCTCTGAAAGGCTGTTCTTCAAGCACTGCTCATAAAAAAACTGGAATTGGTGTAGGAGTGTGCTCTTTCAGGCGTATGAGGTAAAACTCGTGATGCCCCAGATGTCACTCACAGAGATAGTTTCATCCTTGTTACACGGTCCTGATAAGGACATTTTCCCGGGCGATAGAAACAGCATAATCACAGGAGGCGTGTTACTTCTGTCACGTCTTCATCGGTGGAGGATGAAACCAGAGATCCGCTGGACAAAAGCCGAAGCAGGAGGTCCGCGCTGGACGGAAAGCGATATCTTCTTAGCGGTTATGTCCCGCCCCGCGAGCTGTCCGTGGGAAGGCAGGACCGCAGCGCTGGGCAGCGCTCGGTGCCTGCAGTGCCGGGCGGAGGCTGCGGGCGCCGCTGTTGACCGAGAGGAGCGGGAGGAAGCTCGGAGCGCTGCAGCCCCGCCCGCTGCGGACCCGCTCGCTCGCTCGGGGTCTGGCTCGGCCGCCGGGAGGTCTGCGAGCGTATCCGCGGTGCAGAGCGGTTCTATAGCAAGACGGAGGAGCCGGTGGCTGAAATACCGTGCAGAAGCTGAGAGCAGAGTCGGAGCCGGATCTGTCTGGTTTGGTAGCGAGGAGCTGCAAGCGGTGGACCGGTGCCGCGGCGGAGATGTGCGCGGCGGGGAGGCGCCGGGGCCGGCGGCAGCGAGCTCTGCTCTGCGCCGTCCTGCTGGCGGCGTGGCAGGCGGCGTGGGGGCAGCTGCGCTACTCGGTGCCCGAGGAGATGCCCAAGGGCTCCTTCGTGGGCGACGTGGCCAAGGACCTGGGGCTGCACCTGCCGGAGATCGGCGACCGCAGTGTCCGCATTGTTACTGAAGGTAGGACGCAGTACTTTACTCTGCACGGGAAGAGGGGACATTTAGTGACGGCGGAGAGAATCGACAGAGAGCAGCTGTGCGAGAGTGTCCAGCAGTGCCTGCTGCGCTGTGAACTCATAGTAGAAGGGGAAATGAAATTTTATGAAATGGAAGTGGAAATCACGGATATTAACGACAACGCGCCGAGCTTCAAGGAAACTGAGCTGGAACAAAGAATGAGCGAGACGTCACCAGTGGGGTCGCGGTTTCCCCTGGCCGAGGCTCACGATCCTGATTCGGGCCGTAATTCCCTGCAGAGCTACGAGCTGAGCGGCGACGAGCACTTCTCGCTGGCCGTGCAGGCGGGCCCCGGCGGCGGTCAGCGTCCCGAGCTGGTGCTGGCCAAGGCGCTGGACCGGGAGGAGGCGGCGTTTCACGAGCTGGTGCTGAGGGCGAGCGACGGCGGCGATCCGGCACGGACGGGCACGGCTCGGATCCGCGTGACGGTGCTGGACGCGAACGACAACGCGCCCGTGTTCAGCCAGGCGGAGTACACGGTGCGTGTGCCCGAGGACGTGCCCGTGGGCTCCGTCATCATCGCTGTCACGGCCACGGACAACGACGAGGGGGTCTTTGGTAACGTGAAATACTTCTTTAAGAAAGTAAACGAGAAAGCATCGAAGACCTTCCATCTTAACACTCTGACTGGAGCTATCACGCTATTGCGCAGCCTGGACTTCGAGGAAGGTGACACATATGAGATGGAGGTGCAGGCACAGGATGATGGCGGCCTGTCTGACACTGCCGAAGTCGCGATCACTGTCACAGACATAAACGATAATGTGCCGGTTATTTCTGTGCGGTCAGCACTAGGTGAGATTTCTGAGGACGCCCCTTCGGGGACGGTGGTGGCCCTGTTACACGTAAATGATCTAGACTCGGGGGCTAACGGCGAGGTGCGC